TCTACTTCTTCAACCCCCGAGTCATAGCTGCAGTCCAGTTAAAACCCAGTGAAGTCAAAGGAGTGTCTTCAAGGTATATTCAGTGGGTTTTCGATTGGGACCTGATGGACTAGCATAAAAGCTGGAGGAAACGGTTACTTACATGGACCCTTAGACTGTAAGGTGACTAAGCAGGAACAGTTGTGTCTCCAAAAGCACAAGGGGCCATATTTTAACATGCTGTCATAAATTCAAATATTTTTTTAAGACTAAGCAATACAGGAGAACACATATTGGATAAAGCTCAAACCTTTAGAATCTAACAAGTGCACTCAAGCTCCAGCATCTATTAAAGTAAATTATCCCCCTCTAAGAAATACAAAATGAGTAAGTGCTTCCCTTCCCCTTCTGTAAAGCTTTCTGGACTCATTACACAATCCAGATAATCAGAAAAGAAAAATAGTTTGCTCAGTTTGACAAGCTAAATTGCCTCATCATCACTGGAAATTGTCATGATGTACATTACCAAGACATCATTAAGGAAACATGAGTAAAACACCTTTTATTCACACTTTACAAAAAAAACCCAAAAAAACAAACAGAAAAAAATAACACTACGCATTAAGTCTACTACAGCAATACTACCAGCATTTCAATGTACTGATTATAAACTGGACATGTTTGGTGTTTTCACAACTAAAACCGAAACAAAATAACCCCAAGAGATCAGGTCCCAGACAAGGATTCAAGATCAAAATTTCTCCTATTGAAATTCTAAAAATGTACATTTTACATATCCAAACTGTTTGCAATTTTTACTTTCAGCTTAAAACAGAATGGTTTGAGCACACTTACGTGCTGACTACTTTTCAATAAAATTTTGAATCATTATTACCAATCCACTCTCTTATATATAAAAATTCAAAATATTTAGAAAGTTTTCTCTTAATGCTCAGTGTCCTTTTGCTTCCCTGCCCGCAGCTGAAACAAAAGCTGTTTAAGACCAAGCTCTCTATCTCCATTTTTTTTTCTTTACATTGATTATTCAAGTTGTATTAGTTTAAGGAGATGATAAATTCTCCCTTTTAGAATACAAATAGACAAGTTAAATTTGTAAGCTGTTATATACTTGGCTTCATGACACAAATGGCACTGAGGGTACACTATAACTTTAGTCTTGCTTGACACTTTAAAATAAGACTTGGTCACTTTAAAAAAATGATCTGAAGAATTGTCTTTGGGACCTGTATTGAAAATGCATTTATTTTACACTGCTTCATCAATAGAAGATGTAGGGTTGGATATTTTTTTTTCTTCAAGGAATTATACTTTCTGAAACTGAGGAACACACTAAAACGAAAGAGAATTCACATGATAGTAATTCTTAGTGGGAAAAACGGCACTGTGCAATGACACTGAAAGAAGCAGTGCATGGGTATTAGAAGCTAGAAACTGTGTACCCATAACCTGAACATGTTCAAGAAGTGTGATATTCAATGCTTCACAAAGGAAAAAAAGATGCCACAGCTTATACAAAAGTATCTTCATAAAATTTTCACAAGTGTTAACATTATTTAAAAAAAATAAAAGAGGATGCACAGGATCTCTCTGCATGCACAGGCAGTGCTAGTTGAGAACAAATTTAAGCAGGCACAGTGGAGATAGGACAAGTATTTAAAACAGAAATGAAGAAGCTGTACACAAGTATCCCTAAATTTTACTTCCAAAGTTAGAGATGAGAAAAATATCTGAGTGTATACACTTCAGCAATAACTTTCAATCCATACAGGTCTACTTATATTCACTGCTTAGCTTACCTGTTCTGTGAGAACTCCGTGCTTTTCTCTTTTTTTTTTTTTTTAATTTTAAATCAGAAATAAACAGAATGTATTTAGTTATCTCTGGAAGATATTACGATTTTATAGGTTTGGATTTAAAAAGCAACGTTCTCAATTGAACATAAAAAGTAGTACAAAAGGGCTAACAAAACCCTAACAGTGCAAATCATTAGCAGAGAAAACCTGTGACAACCTCTTTTACAAGCTGGCCTTTATAACACATGAAAACAGATAAAAATTTAGCCTTAGTTTACAATACAATCATTTTCCAAATCTGATTTTTCTTTTTTTAAAGTACAAAATCTCATAAATCAGGTTTTCTGTTGTTCATATACAATCAATAAAGGCTAAATTCAAATTCTATATTTTACAAACAAGTCTGAAAAAGGAGGGAGTGAAGTACGGAAGAATGTTCTGTAGATGTTCCTACTGGCCTCAAAAAAGTAGTGCTACAGATAACTGTGCAAAGAGAATATACTGTATAACAATTCCCTATTTCAAGGCATGAAAATGTCACGTTGGATAAAAGAAACAGGAAGGTTAATTGTAACGTATTAAAGAAAGGTGCAAACGCACCAATCGCTGTCGAACAGTATACAAAGTATATTGGGCTCAGAATTGTGTCTGTTGATAGCACCTGGCTTTTACTATGTCTTTAGCAAATAATTAGATTTAAGATTAAGATTATTAAGAAAAAAAATCCCTGTTGGCCATACCTCACTCCTCTATATTCAGATTTTACAATTGTACAAGTTAGATTGAGGTTGCCCTCTAAAATGTACTTAACTACCTCCTGCCAGGGAGATGGATTCCATTTACAGGAGGCAGGAAAGGCAGCAAAAGCTCCAGTTGTGCAAAAAGTGAGAAGTGGTCAGAAGGGATGAGTGGATGTGGACAGCCACTTATATTGTTCTCTATTAACCAATGATGATCCAAAGGTCCAAGAATGCCAAGTATGTTTAGCTGAGGTTTAGAGTAGAAGATGTAGTCAATAATACCCTAAAACAAGAAGAGAAAGAAAATCTATTATTAGTACGTATTCTTGACTCAAGTTACTGTTCCAAACAAAAGATGAGCTCAGTATTACAAGTAACTGAAATGCTGCCATTCCTTCTCCACAGCACATCATCAACTTAGGAGACTTCTGCTTCCTATATCCCATGGGTTGCTCAATATAGATTAGGAAAACAAAAGAAAAAGTATCATTTCTGCTCTGCTTTTATGGGTTGTAATTTCCAACCTCCTACAAAGCTCAAAATCACATTCCTCTGATTTTGAAGGGAAAAAGAACCATCTTTGCTTCCCCAGGGCAAAGGAGCACTCAGAGTTTGCCAATAGCAACGCAGATTATTTCCTTGTAGTTGACAGCTTAAGTGCCCCTGTTGTACTATTTCGTTTAGCTTGGAGTTTTAAAATACAAAATCTTCCTATTTACGGGGAAGGCTAACAGCATCCCAACTCTTGCAAATCTATTACAAGTTACTAATAAGAAAAACAAAAATTTGGTTTCTAGGAGCCTGAAGTGTTACGCACTCTAGTTTGCTATGTTTTCAATATAAGCTTGGCGAATTTACTGTTAGCTACCCAAACAGATTAATTTAACAGTTTCATACAGCAAATCACATTAGTTAAGCTTCAAAACTGAAAATGTTTCCAAAATATCAGCAAAGTCTTTACCTTGAAGTCAAATGTGTAATTTGTATAAGGCATTAGACCATTCTCATAGGCACTCTTTAACTTGAAACCATGTGTAATTCTTCCATTTGTTGTCCCATTTTTTCCATTACAGCTGAAGTTAGTAAGACTTTCATTGTATCTCAGTTCCTTAAAATCTTTGTGGTTTGTTTCCACTCCACCAGTGCTCAAGTACTCAACAACACCTATTAGGAGAGACAAATACCCACAAGAACGTATTAACAAGCATTCAGCAAGTTAAGAGTGTGTAGGTACTTCAAGGCATACATGCAACTTTATGCTTTATATAAGCAAAACCTTAACACATATACAATGCAATCAGCAGTAGTTCTTATACTGCAAGACAATGTACATGTATGTCAAGAGCAAATGTCATCTAGAACAAAGAGATATGCTTTGATTAGAAAAAATGAGAAGGTTAATAAGGCACAGACTGGGAGAAAGATGAAAAAAATAAAAGTGAAACACTATAGGTGCTAGGTAGGCAGCTTCCTCCTCTCCTCATCTCTATGCTCAAGTCTCAGCTTTCAGTGTTCTTCAGCGAAAATGCTGGAAAAAACCCAGCTTTTCTAACACTGCTTCAGATAAAATTAACTTTAAAGAGGCTGCAAAGCCAAATTGATATGATTTGTGTCTTGGAAAAGTATAATCTTGCCTCTATTTCAGAACAGCTGTGTTAAGGTTCTGGAAGGTAAAAGAAATTATTAGTTGTTCTGAAGACACAACTGGACACATGAACTGGCTACTCCAACAGCCACTACCGATACTTGCCTTCCTGGGATCATAAAGAATCACATTTCCAGTACTGCTGAGCAGTAACTGCTCCTATCAGTCCTAACATTTTTTAGGAGTTTCCAAGCAGAGGCCAGAAGGAAGAGGGACCAGGAATGTAGGTTATTAGACTGACTAACTAGCAACAAGAAGGAAAGACGGCTCTTGAGTTCAGTACTTCAGCTGGCTACCTGAGAAAGCCAAGGGGGGAGTCACTGAATCTGTTCTTTTCTTGCAATTTATAAAGTGGACCAAGTAAAAAAAAGTTGCATGTTTGTGAAGAGCTCTGAAGAATCCCTTTCTGGTAGGGGATGTATTGAATTTTAGAAGTCCTAAAACACTTGAGCTGCAGAAAATGACTGTATGGCGGCAACTATAAAGAGGACTTATCTTCTCACACTTAAAATTAAGAAAAAACGATTATCAGCAACATACTCATGTTTCTATTTATTTCTGAAAGACACTATCTTCTTTTCCATTCCTGTATTGTAAGGTAACAATGAAAATGCTTCTGAAAGACCAGCATAGCTCTATTACTGCATAGGCAATAGGGTCACTCACAAAAGAAACAGTTCTATCTTTTCTCTCTTCCATTTTCTTAGTACCTTTAGGGCTTTTAATATCAAGCAATGTCTTCCCTAAGTTGAAAACTCCTTTAAAAAAGTGAGACCTTAACAATTTAAATTGTTACACACTTGAAACAGTCTAAAAAAAAAAAAAAAAAAATAAAAAAAATAGAACTCTTACCAGAGTCTGGTAGAGAATTGAGATCTGCACACAGTACAAGTGGAATGGTTCCAAGTTCTCCCGAAACACCAGGTTTGAGACTACGAGAAGCTTTATCAATAATGTTCTTTACCTCGGACAGGAACATCATAGTCTGAACCAGCTTCACATCAGAATAATCTGGGTCCCAATGCATATGTGCATTAGCTACAAGAACCAGCTGCTTTTCCATCCCAAGATGTGGCTTTCCAGCTAAAATTTAAAATCAATTCTTTATCTTACATGGTCAGCAACAAAAACCATTATTATTGATTTCTAAACAAGATGTTTGAGGGGAGGAAAAAATAAAATAAGATACCAGTATAACTTGAAGGGGGTTAACACCATTTAGTTTAAAGGGGTCATACAACACCTCTTACACCTGCTAAAGTATTTTAGTTGATATAAAGCATTAGGAATAATTGTGTTTCACATCTAAAACCACTCACAGACAGACTATCCTGTTACAGTTAATGCTTACATATTTAAGAATACTGTGAATTACCATAAATAACAGATAATACTAATGACAGGCAAATAGCATAGTTCTAAATTTAAATTAGAACCGTTTTCTTCAGGTTGTGATGATAAGCACTACTCACATCTTATTAGGCAATGAGCTCTGAAGTTTAAGCTATCCACATTATAAGTTACCTCTCTTGCTAGAAGTGCTTCTTAAAAGGCTTGTTTGTTAGAAGCTGAATTAATAAAATATCATTTGGATAAACATAACACAGGCTGAGTAGGTACCCACTGTGATACTTATAAAGCAAATTTACATTTCCTAAATTAAGAATGACAGGGCAGAACAAGGTTGTGTTAGCATGACAGTGAAGAAAATAACAAGCTAAAATGATGCAGATGTACGACCCAGAAACACGTGACTAACGCCAACTCTTTGATACCTGTACATAATTCCAAGGAAAAAAAAAAAAAAAAATCACTCAAGTCTTTGTATTTTTTAAGCAGAAAGGGGAAAAAAAAAAATCTTCATCATTTAAGCAATATGACTTTTCCCCAAATCCTCTTTGGAACTAAATTTGTCTGAACATACAATATGCAAAGTTTTGCTCATCTGTAGAAGCTAGTTTCTCTGGTTCACTATAACAAAAGTCAATTTTTTTTTCACTTACAAAATACAATCTATTAAACAAATAAACTAAATAGGACTTACATGACATTTCTATCAATTCCTTTCGCAGCTCTAACAATACAGCAACTCCAATGTTATCTTTTGTCATAACTCTGTTCAGCATAGCTTCTGAACCTTCTGAGTTTGCCATAGCTAGCTGATTGAATTCAACAGTGTGTTTTTGAACCAAAGTAAATCTGAAAGTGAAACATGGTATGGTTGGGGTTTTTTTTCAACAGCCAGATACAAAAGGAAATGTTATAGATAATTCTCCTTTTAATTAAAGCTCAGAACACATTTATGACGTGAAAGTCTCAATCACGTAATTTCATAAAATCATAAGCTGAACTCAAAGGACAGTTTTCCTACCAATTTTTACGTATTTTATACTTAGTTTCAATTAAAAGATTAGAGAGACAGACAGACTCTACAGAAAAGGAGTGCTTGTTTCAAATTCTGCACCAGTCTCTAGTTCCAAGATACAGGTTTAATAGAGGGACTAAATATTTTTTCCAACCTGTACGATATCAAACCTGGCACCTACATTTACTTGTGGACACAAAGGAAGGGAAGTTATTACCCTCATATCGAAACAGTTGTACAAGTACAATATGACACAATCAGTAAGTGCTGCAGCTCTTCAATAATAGCTTTTTTCCAGAAGCGAGCAGTGATATTAAGTGCCTTGTCTTTTGCTTTATCAGAAGGCTAATGTATCAAAAAGTCAACATCACCTGAGGTCTTATTTCAGCAATTCTGGGGATTATCAATTCCTTTACTCAAAAAAAGCAAGAAAATAAGACATTTCCTTTGTTTTTCATTATTGACACCTAATGTTTGGGACACACACACTCAACAACTGAAGTATAGTTTAGTCAACTCCTAACGCCTTGCTCTAACACAATGAAATTTCAACTGAAATCATTCTGTGCGTAACTAGCAATAGAAAAATTTCACCCTGAAGTTTTCTCTCCTACAGGCCACTCTTTCTAACGATAGGAATGCTCGATAAGAAACACTGAACGGCTATAAAAAGGGCAACTTTTGAGCTACAGACTGACCTGAGAAAGTATGTGAAAGAAAGCAAGACACAATAGAAGGCTTCATGAAACACATCACTTACTTTTCTGTTTTGAAAAATATTGCACAACCATCGACGTGTTTTCTTTCCTGTTCTGACATTGTCCTAGCTCTAGATTTTGGACTGAAGAATCCATTGTAGCCACGTTCTTTCAATTCTACTAGGAAAAAACTGTAGTACTGTTCTGTTTCAACCTCCTATAAAGTTGTAAGACAGCACAGCATGAATGTACTATTAGCAAAATACAGAAGACTGACATTATTTAGACTCTTCAGAAGTGTAAATCACTTTCAAATTAGATTTAAGAGAAAAAAAATGGTTAAGAATTAAGTACATCAGAGAATGCAAATTTGAGAGCAGTATCTCTATTTTAAGAAAATATAAATGAATTTCTGCAATCCCCAGAGTTATGATTATCTCAGCCTTTTATTTGAAAATACATACACATGCAGGCACAAAGACACCCCCACATACATTTCTTTGATCAGCAGCTGCTGGTTCACATTCCAACTGTGTGGGCTGAAAAGCATTCTTTTGATGTCAAGCAACAAATAATGTTCTAAACACCACTTCTTTTTTCTTTTGTTTTCAGAAGGTTTTGAAAACAGACCATTTACTGTAAATACATTTAATATAGAGAAACCAGCACACGGGAATAGAAAAGGAAAAGAAGTAATAGTGTATCTTTTACCTGAAGACTTATGATGTCAGCATTGCAGCTCAGTATTTCCTGCATAATGGCTTTTTTTCTGTATTCCCAGTTCAATGCCCAAGATGGACAATAGCCATACAGCTGCCGGGTAGCATATTTATCACAGAGTACGTTGTAACACATGACAGAAAACAAGGCTGCAGAACAATAATTTTACTTATACAATGATATATTTAACAACAAAAAAATTTATATACAATTATGTTCTTCACTTTTGTCTCCTGCAAATTTATCAATTCATGCTTCATTTGCTTCAATCAAAACACAGCTTGTGTATATATACTAAAAAGAAAATAATAAATTGTTAGTCCTAAGAAGATAAATTACAAGTTTGGACTTATGTCAGCTGTCTTCTAGCATCTAATTAGAAAACAAAACCCAAACCTCAGACAAATGTTCCATATGCCAAGGGGTGGTCTACTGTGAAAAGCCTAAACCAAGGTAAGTGCATCTGAACACTTACACTGCTACTATACCAAGGTTTGCAAGCTCTTCAAATAGATTATTTAAAGTCTACCTTAATTATTACCACCATGAACTGTACAGATCCATAGGCAGGGTAAGGATCCCTTTGCACAATGAAAAAGTACAGGCAAAATAAACCCCCAATTGTTTCCAACCTCAAAAAGCTCACAATTCAGGTGTAAAGGCAAAACACATCTACTTTGTATTCATTTCGAACAGGAATGATGATAGTTTGGGGAAATTTGACAGGCAATCCAGCAGCATGGATTTCTGGTTTTGTTTTGTTGGAGTTTCTTCTTTGATTTTATAAAGCACTAAGGAATCTGCAGGACAATAATGAGATACTTGGAAGCATATAGGGAGCTCCTCTCAAAACTGCAAACAACTCGGGAAAAAGAAACAAGACAGCTGTTTGAAGATTTAGAAAACTGAGGCAACAATCTCGGGCTGATTAAGGGTCAAAGCCCAGCATTTTGAAAATAAATAGGTGACAGCAAGAGACAAGCTGCATTAACATCATGACCTTTGAAGCAACCGCTTTAATAAAATCAATAGGGGAAAGTAATGCACATCAGTCCTAAAAGAGGAGACTGTAGTAATTGAGAAATACAGTAAGATTTTTGGTGTTCAGGTAAGTAGAAAAGGCTATATTTTAGACAATTCATGCACCAAAAAAGAGTAAACAACTAAACTACGACCTGAATCCCAACAGCAAGAAAAGTGCTGAGACAAAGATGATACATTGGTTATTTAAAAGAAAAAAAAATTTACATTTTTTGGAAGTTATGCTCATGTTCTTCCATTTTTTTAATTCTTCAACAAATGTTCTATTAAGCCTGTTATAATTCATCTATTTAACTAATTGTGGACAACAGTTTCAACTCCTGTGAGAAGGACATTAATTAAAAAGAAATTACTTTACAGTAGAAGACAGATAAATCCGGAACAGGTGTTCCAATTGAGATAGAACTACTTCAGCTGACTGGTTAGCACTGCACAGATGACTGGTTAATTTAAGCATCAAAAATTTTTAACAGACAGTAAAGATGCACAGCTTTTATAACAGGGAAAAAAGAAAAAAAAGCACTACATTACCTGTTGGTCTTGTACGGTCTGGTTCTTGCAACATAATCCAAGATCTTGGAGGTGGTTGTTCTGTTGAAACTATGGGAACATTTTAGAGATACAAGTGATAATCACATTTATTTTACACAGCAGAAATAAATGTTTTAAGAATGATCACTTACTTCTTTTTGCAGTACCTGCCAAATTATCAAGCAAATAGTTCAGTAGCCTTCGTGTCCCATCTGGTTCCTGATAAAGGTTCAGAATATCCTGTGTAAGTGGATTTCCTGCAAACACATTTACAGAAATATTGAATAAACAGAACCATTATTAACTTATGTATCAGTGTTTAAAGCTGGCATCTCTGAGAATACTATGAACTATGAGCTTTCAAATCTCAGATCTTCAATCCCACAAAACAGTAGCTGTGCTAATAGCCCTAGTGAAGTTAACTGCATTCCCTCCTGCGTCTGTCTTCTGATCGACCACCCCAAAGGCGGTCGTTGGATAACAGTGAAGAACTGGCATAGTACAACACACAGCCACCTCTGCTCACTTTGCTCAACGCAAGAGAGACATCCACCATCGGTTTATTTGCCAGTCATATCTGAGTAGAGAGTCTACCATCTCCCAAATGCGTAAGTGGATTTTAAGAGTTTTCACGGACAACGCGCATTGCAATTATCCAGTTTTAAGGGGGAGAAAAAACAGACTTTTGAGACTTAACAGTGTTTAGAGATCTTGCATCACTCAGTGCTCCTGATTGTGATACAAGTTCCCCTGAGGCCAGAAATTTTAAAACTAGAATCCATATGGTTCAGAGAAAAAAGAAAAAAAAAAAAAAGATTTAAATTGCTGCTTGCATAAACAGCACAGTACCCTAGAGCAGTACAAAGCACATTCCCTTCTTGGATGGAGTTGAATAACTACAGTTAACTGCAGAGCATTTCTTAGTTAAAGCAGCACTGTATCCAACCCCTCTGCAAGCAACGGAAAGCTTCTGCTCGCTTTGCAGAAAGAGAAGCAAACCTCTTCATACGTGGAGTTGCTTCACCAAACTAGTTCTTTTTCTTTTTGTAAATAATCCCTAAATAACAGTATTTATAAACGTGGAGTAAGTAGCTACATCTGCAATTGCTGCTCAGTAACATTTTATGAACTAGCAGTCTTACAGCTATCATATCTCAGAAGCGATCTCATTAAACAAAGCACCGATACCAAGAAAAAGCAGTAATACCTTTCAGACCCAAAGTCTGTAACTGGAACAGTTTTCCCAGCTCAAAAGGTAAAACTCGTAACAGGTTGTTATTTAAATGTAGTTCCCTGTAGACAGAGCAAGAATCATAGGGCTGAAAACAAACCAGTCTTCAGCAGTGTAGTACAAGAAGTTTAACTAAAAGAGAAACAATATACTAGCAAACCATAGTACTGAAAAACTCAAAGACTAAACAGCAATAGGTAGGGAAATCCTGCTGTACTCAAACACACACACATAAACAAAATAGGTATTATGTTGAAGTACAGAGGAAAGCAGCTGTTTGGCAGGTTCGTCTTTAAAAGTCAGAATTTTTGTAAACATTAGCAACAATTAGGTACTTTAATAACTACAAGTGATGAAGCAGTAACAGTTCTAACAAACCAGATCATGAAACAGTTTGGCTCTGATTAAAGGCCAAAAAAAAGGAAATTATATCCCAGAAAACAAATAAGCAAAAATTCCCCAATCATGGTACTACAATTAGAGCTATCACATTACCATGTAATAGTCATTTACAATAGTCATTTTCTATTGTTTGTTTTCATAATTTTAGTGTTAAGACAAAATACATGCTTTTTGACTTACAAAACCCAATATGCATACAGGAACAGAATTCATGTCCTGAATTCTGACATCCCAACAAACTGGACAGAGAAAATGGACTTGTTAGGAGCTTTTTACTTTCTTAAACACATTCCCATCTAAGCAGTGAAGACTTTCCTCACCATATTTGATATCAAGTTGCTACTTCAAAGTGTTTACAACTTGGTGCCTAGAGACTTGAAAAATACTTTTGGGCAACAAAAAAGGGAAAAATAAAAAAAAAAAGAAAAAGAAAAAAGGGAACCTGGATGCCAAGAGTTACCTTAGCTCTTTTAGATTGCTACAAGACAGCATTTGAAGCAAAGAGACACAACTCTTCTAGCCTCGCATTTCAAAAGTAAACTCTGCCCGGTCCTTCCCTAACAAGGGCTTCCTAAGAAATTCTCTCTGTTTCACCATGTATTTAGAAACCTGGGTAAAAGTAAAGTGGCTTGTTTTAGAGACACTCTGGGGTGTGTAATACTGAAAGAAGACACAGGAGGGGACTTTCTTTTTATTTCACTGGGTCATCTAGAAATGCCAAGTCATTGCTCAGCTGATTGGCAGACTACAACACACCTAGCCAACAGGGGTTGTTTGCCTTTTTCCCCAATAGGAAATCCCATAGACAAAAGCACGTATTTTAGAGAGAAACTCAGAAGGCCACAGTGTCTTCTCCGGTTTCTAAGTACGAATGAGGCACATAGCAGGTAGAAAAGAGGACGGGGAGTTTAAAAAATTCAGCGTCTCCACTAGTTCCTCAGCACTTCCATAGACACTTGAGATTTAAATGCCTATTATTTTTAGGGATGATATTCTATATGAAATTGTAAAGCTACTAGTTTATTCTTTAGAAAGCTACATTTTCCTCTAAGAGTTTTTCAAAGCACTGCTGAAGTCTAAAAGAAGTTATGTATAAATTACAAAAATAAAGGTACTAAATTCTTCTGGAGGAAAAAACACTGAGCTGGAAGAATGGCTCAGTAGTAGGTATCATTACACTTTCTCTCTTGGATGAAAGAAATATTTTCTCTAATGATCCTTGCCTCCGCAGAACCCGCCCCCTCTACACAGCAAAGGGGATCACAGCAAATCCCACTAGTTCTTTCAAGCATATCAAAGGAATCTGTTTTACAGCCAAGCTTTCCAAGATAACATCTTATAGTGTTTATTTTTTCTCCTCTTTCCACAAAGATCAGAAATCTTACTGCTCTGACACCTCTTTCTTCAAGTACCTGCAGTAAAAAGGGAGATGTGAGGAGCCTTAGGCGAGCTTTGCAGTACAGACCAAACCCAGAGCTCCAGATGTGGGAGCTGGAAGACCTGTTACCAATTCTCAAGTGTGAGAGCACAAACGATTTCTGTGGCTCAGGATATTGCCCAGTGTTGAATTACTGGCAGCTTGAACAACTTCCCAAAAGCTACGGAAAGTGTCTGCAGTAAGAGCCAGCCTGAAACCTAAACCTCCAGCACAGCTGAGACCTACAGAGTGCTATCACATAGGACGATACGGCTTTTTCTTCACTTTCACCTCATGGATTGGCTGCAATTGCCGAGGACAGAGAGCACACAGTGGATTCATGCACTAGCTTTTCACGTCTGGAGATCTGGATTCAAGCACTGTGTTTAGGTCAGAAATAGAAAACTAGTGTGATCCTAGACCATTTCACATTCACAAGATTTAGCCTTCTCTACTCTGAAGAGACTTAGGACTTGCAAGAGCTGAAGCTTCATAGAATCAGCCAGAATAAATTGGCAAAAGTGTTAGGAAGAAGGCGTAATATCTTTTGACAGTACTGATGACTACACAGTGCTAAGCTAACTCCATATCCTGAGTATTATGTTCACAGCAATATTTTAAAAGGAAAAAGACTGATGAAAATAAAAGGATGCTAATGAAGTAAAAAGATGAATTTGAGAATATTCCAGTAGAAATGGATAAAGGAGGGAAGAAACCTGTTACTAATAACTGTTTTTAACTGAAATAGTAACACAAAGCTTTCTTTGGAACAGACTGCTTCAAAGCTGAAAACAACTGTATAACACACTACGAAACAGAGCTGCCAATTATGCTCTAAAAACCAACGTCACTTTGCTCAGCCTCCAAGGTTGAGACTTTAACTGCTTTGGAATTCAAGCTTTTAGTACCAATTTAATCAGCTAGTTTAATCCTCCCCAACAGTGTGGACTTTTCTGAAGCAGAAGGAAATGCAATGACTGATATTTCTATGTGAAAACTAGCTTTGCTTCCAGTTTCATTAAAGCTGTGCTGGCAGTCCATTTCTCTATTGTCTTCTTTACTTCTAATAACATTCTCATTACTTTTAGACTCAGTGTTTTCTGGATTAGAGAAAGCTGCCCATAAATGTCTTCAAAATTAAAAGCAACGAAGGCGATTCCTGGTGACTGTCTAATAAACCTAAGATAAGGCTCTTCCTTTGGGTCAAGGGCAAAAGAATGTTGCCTGTACATATTTACTCTTATATAAATCATTTATATATTTACATAACAGTGTTTTTACAAAGTGAAATGCTGCAGCCTTAATTATAATCTAAAAAGACATCACTATTCATGTTTCATTTCCGAAAGGAGGTATAATTCCATGCAAACTTTACACATCTTGGCACTGTAAAATTGCGGGGTTGGGGGGATGTGTGGAAGAAAGGTGTGCTTGGAACACTTTTGTCTCCTCCCCAGTTTGCACAGGAATGCAGTTACAAGATACCAAAGGTGGAAAGGAGATGCTATTAGACAAGTTGTAGTTGTTATAAAATAAACAGAGTAAGAACTACTGTTAAGAATAATTACTAAAGATGAATAAAGAGAAAAAAATGCAGTTAGCATCATTATGAATGTTTAATCTGACCTTTTTCCTACCTTATTATGAGTTAAAAGCAAATTTTTTGTGCATCAGTGTTTCTTAGAGAAAAATGCCACATCAAGATTTGTAAGAGTCTGCAAAGAGATGCATGAGAGAGGAAACCTGATGTGGAAAAATATAAAATGGGTGATTGCTATCAAACTGAGCACTTCTGAAGCTCATTCCGTACTGTCATACATCGGAACAGATCACAGAAAAGCCAGCATTGCTACAGTTGCACAGACCATACCAAGTATTCGGGCACACAGAGACAAAGAAGTGAGGAAGAAGGAATTCATTTATGCTTTTCATTTACTAGAACATAAAAACTATGCTGAAATTTAAACTGCTGCTACAAAAATAATAAGAGAACAATCTTAACTCCTGTTAAAGCTTACATACCTGAGTGACACCATGTTTCCGAGCTCTGCTGGTAAACTGCGAATTTTATTAGAGGACAGGTCCAGATATACCAGATTGTGAAGCTTGGCAATGTCTGAAGGAATACGGGATAAGGAATTGTCACTGAGATGCAAAGCTGTCAAATGGGTCAGTGTCCACAATGACGAACTTAAGCTTCTCACTTTCCCTGTGGGAGGAAGATACAAAAGAAAACAGAACATTTAAAATATATAGGTTTAGCAATAATTGCACACTTTGCAAGTATGTATGGGGCAGTGAGAGGGGAGGAGTTAATATTATTGTTTTATTCAATGAAAATTCTATTAATTGCTGATTCTATAGATAAAAAAAAAAAATTGGCAATGCATAAGATAATGTAAGGTGTTACCGGGGATGCTTAGGTTGTTTTTCTCCAATCCATACTTCAGGTTTAAACATCTTTCTCAAGTTCCATAAAAACCAAGACATACTTACTAACTGACCATGAATTCAATAATTAACATAGGTGTAAGAAATAGATTTTTTTTTCAATTACAGTTTATATTTGGGATGAAAGACGCTTTCTTATTTGCCTCTTACTTCTGTGCAACATCTTCAAAACCAAAAATCTATATTCTATGGCATTAATCCAACCAAGAACAGATAGAAGCACTATATTTAGGTTGACTAAAATGCTTAGTTGAGAACATGGATTTCCAACTGGCATTCAACTAAAAGCTGCATAGACTATTGCCAGATATTTAAAAAAATGGTATGATTTTTATATAAACTGAAGGGTGGAAACATGGATTTGTGTGACAGAATCAAGATTTTTACACTGCCGCATGCAAGGAATGTGAGATATCATCAGAAGGTCTCAAAACATTTCTTCTCTTCAAGATTTCTGCCACTACCCCCACACCAGAGTGGATCCTTTTCATTTACAGAAGTCATATCACTGTACTGAAAGCATTAGAAGAAGAGTACCAACACCAGTTTCTCCAAGGCAAAAAGTTACCTGCGACAGCCTTTAAAAACTACACCATGACTCACCAATATTAAGAGCAGTAAGGTTAATATTATACCAACATGCACACATTAAAATTCCTTTCCTTAAATGATTTTCTTCAAAATAAAAGAAGTCACATTTAGTGCCTGGGGAAAGCTACACTGATACACGTGTATCTGGGACTCGGTCCCTGGTAACAAAAGGTTTAATACAGATATCATTTCCAGTGAGCTGTAAGAAAGCAAGTGGCATAAATAAAGCCTGCAGTGAAAAAGCTCAGCAATTTAAGTGAGAGCAGTTAAAACATTTGTGGCTTTCTGTATTAGATAATAAAGTATTTTGCAAGGAAAATACCTAACACTTTATTAACGCAAACGTTTATAAAGCAAAAACATTGTCACATTTTATTTTGCAAGGCAAAGGAATACAGTTCTCAAAGGATTCATGCTACTGTAATGCTCATTAAGAAATATTTTTAAAGGTTTTTTCAAATACAAATCAGTAATTCTTTGTATTTTTAAAATTTAATTAACACCTCTTCACCCCTCCACAATGCAAATGGGTGACTGTGATCAAAGAAACCCTTGTAGTGGGAAGGATTTCCAATCAACACCACTGATCCACACTCTCTGCTCCCTACTCCTCTCTTAGCTGGAATCAGCCTACAGTGAGATTGCCAGGCATGAAAGGAAAGAGCCATCACTTAATGCATTTCCCATGCAGAGGCAGCAGATGTGCAAGTGGATATCCAAGCCTAATGCCGATATGTAATGCTGATTCCTGAAGCAGCATTTAACTAGGTTTCTGCATCTGTAACCTTCAAGTAAAAAGTGTTATTCACATGTTAAGGCACACGGCACTTGAAGCAAGACACAGATTCAATGATCTGGGTGGAAAGACTCTTCACAATTCAAAGAACACTGTTTGTATCCCTCCTTCCAGGAATTGCTCTATTGGGCAGTCATTTAGAAATGCCACGTGACAATCTTTGCAGTCTCTTAAAAGAGCCTCCATATTTAAGCAAAATTTTAGCTTAAGTTTACATCACAAGATAATTTTTAAATTCTTAAAATACTTGCTTGAATTTCCTTGTAAACATACTACGTAGCAAAATCAGAATTTACTCAACAAATCAAGAGATTGGTGTCTCATGCCAGTTGGAATTCATGTTTATGAATTCTGAGCATTATCTTATTTTCAAGAAAGATCAAAAAGTCAAACAGTATCTCAAAGCTAGCACAGCTCTTGGAGGATCTCTTTCATCTTTTTTTTTTTTTTTATCTCAAGAACAGAACAAAGATTTGCAACTGCTTTTAAACTGAAAACTTCCGCTTCGATAGAAACTATGCTGTCATGGATTAATACAACATTGCGGTTACATCGCTTACAGTAACAGCACATGTCTACATGTCATCCCCAACTTCACCCTCTTCTCTGACAAATTAGATCTTACACCCATCCCATCTTCTTAGAACACAAAGAGCTCACATCCCTCATCTGCCCAACTTTCCTACACATTACGATTCCCCATCTGCCTCAACTTACCTCTCCTACAGCTCCCTACATTATCCCAACCCAACCTCTTCCCTTGAGGCACCCAAAGGTTGGCAGCTGCTATGTTGGTGTGCTGGCTCACTTCATGGTAGGTAACTCCACTCCAGACTTCTTGTCCAAGCCCAGACTACATAGGCTACTCTTAACTTGCAAGAAGTTCATAACTCAGGACCACTCCTCAGTTTCTTACCACTTATTTCCAACTCTGCCCAGTGTGATTTCTTTCCGTTGGCTGCTTCCTCTGAGGACATAATTGTGTACATCCTCCGTGGATCAGGTGGATCGTACTTTTCCTTGGGCATGCCTGTCAAGACAAAAAGACAATTAATTAAGACATTGTATACTGAGAATTCTTTAAAAGGTAACTTCCACTTCAGTTAAATTTCCTATGGATGTTCACTCCAAATACTTTTCAAAACTTCAGATAAAGATAACCTGTGCCCATTTACAAACTTCACTGAGTGGGAAAGACTGCAGATTCCCGATACTCCTGGAATGGCAGACGACAGCCTAACCCCCCATCCAAATAATTTAACAAAATCTGCAAACGAACATAAACACCGTGTCCTGGCACCTTTCATGGGTACATCACTGTGTCCTTCAAAATCAATGCATCCTCTTGGTTCTTCAACAATGAAACTTCAAAGAGTGATGATCACCACCACCAGATTCTCCCTCATACAAATTATAAAGAAAACATTTGCTAATAACCTTGACTATCTATCAGTTCCAGGTTTATGGCAATTCTCAACTCTTCACACAATTCAGCATTTAAGAAAAGAATTAAGGTTTCAAAAAGATCCTCAATTCTTTAAGTTTGGAAAACGTTAGCTTTTAATCCAACCCTTATCCTACTCTTTTCAATCTGTAAATGTTGTACCCAAGGTAGACATTTCTATCACTTTCTTCAGCCAGGTGTTTAACACAATTGTAACTCCATTTCTTTCTTTCACATCATTCCTAATAACTTCACCAGAAATGTTTTTTAATTTCTTATCTCTTTTTACCATACCCAATCATGGACCATGAAAGAGAAGTGGCAAAAATTCCTCTCCAAAAAAACCCCCCTCTTTCCAGCTTTCCTGTACCTCTACAAACTTGTGCTGTTTCACTGCAAAGAGGAGGAAGGAAAAAAAAAAAAACCCCAAGGTATTCCTGGCTCCATACTAAAGCCCAGTACCATAACCCTCACTGTACCTACCATTAGCTAGCTCTCCTCTCCCCCAAGAGAAATACGTCTAGGTTTTAGTTCTTTACGAGAAAAAACAGCTTACATATATTTTAAATAAGTAGATCAATACTATATTAATTTACAAATTAGCTCCAGGTTTTCAAGTTACATAGGACTTCTGATATAAATCACATTTATCACAAATAAGAGTAATGCTTTTGCACGGCCCTACATATACCTAAGAGCTTTTACAGCAAAGATTTCACCATCTTAAGCTTCCACATCCAAAATACATACAGAAAGGTAAAAGCAACAAGCTATAACATTATTTATATGAAATAGAGAAATTAAACAATACTGGCTCAAATTACATTTACAAACCCATTACAAGCAATATTATGTGATTATTAAGCAAAATGCATTACAGCAATATTATAATACTACCCAAAACCGCTCAATAAAGAAGAAACTATACTGGTCAAAATCATAAGCACACCTATCTACCTACTAAGTCTTTTAAGGTTTATCTAATTTTTTTCATATCCCAGACAACGTGAATACATCAGAAAAGCATTGTAATTATATAGTGAATAAAGAAGGAATAACTCGCAACAGACTAAACTATGAGCCAGACTTCTTATCTATTTATTGAATTGACTAGAAAACGTTTACTACACATGTTAAAAAAACCCCAACCAAGCAGAACACCCCCACCCCCCCAAACTTTCAACTAATTATACATCTTAATTAAAATAAAGCTGGAATAACTTGCAACAGACTAAACTATGAGCCAGACTTATTATCTTATTTATTGAATTGACTAGAAAATGTTTACTCCACATGTTAAAAAAAACCCAACCAAGCAGAACACCCCCACCCCCCCAAACTTTCAACTAATTATACATCTTAATTAAAATAAAGCTTTTAGGCACCACACGCTTACTTTAATACAACAGCTCTTTCACTAATTCCCACTCCCTCCTTGTCTTTCCCACTCCCACTACTGGTCAAAACCAGATTTCTGTAGTGAAAAGAAATTCCCCTTTAAAAAGTGAATTGTGGGTAAAAGGATGAGATTATAAATAGCAGCTGGGTGGAGCTCCTTAAAGAATGAAGACACTTGAGTACCCAGGGTACTGGAATCACCAAGTGTAACACTTCTTCAAACTAAGCTAATTAAAGGAGATGAGACTGGATTGTAACCAGTGGAAATGTAAAAGCATAACTTCTCCCTGCAATAACTATACAACTAGCACAATAATATATGGTAAAGTAATGTACAGTACATCTCTTCTGAAATCACTATATGTAATTCTATATAATTCATAAAGACCGATGCCATGTAGGAATGCTCCAGTTTGTCAGGAAACATTTACCTTCCTTGGTCATTTGACGCTTTCTCTTCCTGCAGCTCCCTGAATTAATAAATATGTTCCAATTCTTCAAGAAATGAAGCAGGTGTAGTAGAGACAGAAATCTCATTCAGCACAGAAACATGAACATTCCCCAGAGCACGTTCAATCACACGCACTAATTAACAGCCTTTTTGGTACCAGCAGCATATCGCTCCTCACTACCAGAAGAAGATGACATACTTTTTCAGTGGGTTTTGTTAATGTGTGCTAAAACAATTAGAGATTTGAGAATTTGAGGTTTTAACACTAGATCCTGGTGATCCCGTGCTCCCGGTCTATCCATGGCACTACTTTCCCTCTCATTAAAGTTCCTGCTCTTGATGGTTTTCCCATTCTCACTGCTGCATTTCACGGTGGATGATCCTCTGCTGTTTAGGGTCACCAGGAGCAGAAAAAGCAGCAAATGCTCAAGAGCCTCTTAGCTGAAAGAGCTGCTGTCGACCGACAGCATCACTGACATGGGCCACACCAGAACACCAAGGATACTGTCACACCAAGCATTAGCACATCTTTATCCATCATGTAGAGTTCAAGATTTCTCAGGACTTGACAGCAAGGCTAAATTTGGGTCGTATTTCACAGGACATCGTAAAACACGAGAGCAATACCTTGAATTGTATTTCAAAACTTCACAGCATGGAGTAGTTCAAGAAAATCAGTCTCTTTTACAAACCACTGTCTCTTATCATTTCTCCACCTCCCCAAATCCAAATTGAGAGCCTGCTGAGCTGCTACAGTTAAACATACAAGCCGAGGTAATCATCAAATTAAATTGTACAGCTTTGTCAGACTAAAGCAATTTTTAGTAAGACCCATAAAATGGTGCTGAACAACCTCAGAGCTGTTGATAACTGCAGCTTTATACCACCAAGACGATCACTTTCAAAAGCTTGCGCTTACACCACCTGTAATTTTCAGTTGCACCAACACAGATGGTGGAAAGCACCACTGAAAGCACCACCGAACTTCAGGCTGTTACCACATATGGCAAGTTAGTTCGTAAAGGAGAAATTCTTCACCAACCAAAGATATGATGTGGATGCCCAGAACACACCCCAGATTATATAAATTTAATGAAGAGTATATTTAAATATGTTTGAATGCAAATGAAGTATGTTTTCTATCTTGTACCAGGTTATTAAAATTGTTATTTAAATAGTTGTAAAAACAGAAGAGTTGGAGACTTCAAGAGGAGCACGGCTGCCCCTTCCAACTCCGAGTTACTCAGTCCCAACACAGAACTAACAACCCCTTACTCCAAAGAAACTGTGCTAAATGAGGCCTATGAGGTCAACAGTGCAAAGGGTCTGACACAGGGAATCAGACCTCAAGTCTTCAGCGTAGATGGAGTTTTAAGCCCTCGTTTGCATAGGGGTACTGAGAGAAAGGCAGGAGGACAGGGCAAGGGAGAGCAGTGGCAGACAAGACCCTTCAGGGAAAGGTGCAGGGAGAGGATGATGAGGATCAGAGGGGGAAGAAGAAAAAAACCTGAACATTGCTAAGTCAAGGGAGGGCAAGCTGTTAGAAGAAAAGTTGCCCAGTACAGCAGGTAGATGATGGAGCACACGCTCTGGCTTCGCTCAGGAACAGCCCAAACGTTCACAGGTTGAGGTGCACCTTTACCGATTGCTGCCTGTCTCCCCAAATTAAAGCCATGAGTGCAGTCAGGTGAACAGCCAGGTCTGCCTTGTTTCAGAGAACTGTCCTAGGCAAACCATGGCGTGATTGCCAGCAGCCATGCAAGTGGGTGTGCTGGGCCATGAAACAGCTGCTGCTCGGCTCCTGAGGAGCTCCTACAGCTGCAGCACCAGCACCATCAAGGGTATAGTGTCAGGAGTTGGTGGCCTAGAAAAGGAGGAGTTACCTGAGGGCCAAGCTGTTGTAGCTACACTGCTAGCTGTAGAAGAATGAGAAGAGTTCAGACCATTGCCTGACAAAGCTTCTGAAGTGGTAAGTCTCCTAAGCTACAGGCATGTAGAATCTGGGCTATAATGGAGAGATGATGGTCTGGGGAAACTGCTTTGAGTGACAGGGTAGGAAAGATGGTGACTTTTTTCCCCCATCCTTCCCTTTTGTCACTTTGGTGAAATGAGAAGATAGTGGGGAGAAGGATTTAATCAAAACAAGTAGGTGAGCAGGTTTTCTGAGTAAGCAGTAACTCTTTTTAAAAAGCCACAACAGAAAATACTACAGCAGTTGTTCATTTCCTGAAATGTTTTCTATAATACCACAGATATACCAACTCTATTTCAAAACTGAATGCATTAGATAACTCCTGTAGGCTAAGTACCTTTATAATTTTAGCTTTACTATAAGTGTAGATACCGGGTTTGCCTCAGAAACTCTCCTAGAAACATCAGCTTTGTCCACATCAAAATTTAAATTAGGCAAAGAAAACCTGACTTCTAAAACTTCATAGAGAACACAGAACAAGTGAGAGCAGCTTGGATTAATGTTCAGAAAAAGTTGTATCTGATCAACTATTCTGAAATAACTATTTCAATATTTACTAAGCACTATCAGAAATACCTGAAGATCACTATGCTGAAGCATTACAACTCTGCTTCTGAAACTTCTTGACACATGTTAATGCCTTCTCTTGACTTCCTCCCCCCCCTTACTTGATATTACTTATCACTAATATGCTGATGTAGATCAGAAGACAGCCAGGAAGAGGGAGTAAACAAAGCAGCACCACACTTGATCAAATGCAGAA